TCCAAGAGTCTTCTCCACACCACCGCGGCTAATGACGGAGCCACCGTCGATGCTGATCATGATCGGTGGATTGATAGTGGCGATGTCTTCTCTTGTCCGTGAAATGGGCAGAGACTTTGACACGTGTATGTCACGAGTGTGTTTGTGATTCTCTCTTGTCTCTAATATCCAAATACAAGTTGTGTTATATGTAACTCTTTCTAGTGAGTAAGTGATCATCATAAAATTGTAGTTTGTCGATGTTCATGATTTATTGATCAGTTCACCGTTGATCTTTAGCAAATTCACTATTGGAATGCGGTGCGGTGGATAAATTGGGCCATGACTGATTATTACTTTGTTTGGGCTTTCTCAAATACTAATTTAAGCCCAATAAAAACCAAATCGAATCAAATAAAAAGAAAAACGATTCATTCGAATTTTTTAGTTGTAAAAGACCACCAATTCAACTAAAAAACTAAAAAGTCAAAACAAAAAACAAAATAAAAACTGGAATGGATCCAAGTTTCATGAGAATTAGATTATAATCAAAAGAGACGACTAGCTAGTACTCTTATCTTGGTTTTGCACGCCTCGTCATATAGTACCAAACTTGACTTAAGTCATAGAAGGTTAGATCTCTCTACACACGAGCTCTTGCTCTCATGAAGAAGACGAGAAGAGCCGTCTCTGTTTGTATTTAGCCTTGAAGCAAGCCTGTCTTAACCTCTTAGTCTTGTCCCCAAATTCCAAATCCGGAACTTCCTCAATCATCTTCTTCTCCATCTCCAAAAGCTCCAAAGCATTCCTCAGCTTACTCTTGGGCGTTTTTCCCTCCGTGTTCCCTAATAAGTCCTTTCAAAACGACCATCACATATATAAGTGTTACACTAACCCCAAAATGTATAAGCAAGTCGATTGTATATATGTCTGTGTTGACGCACGCACCTTGAGATTGGTAATTAGAGCGTTAAGGCTCGTGAGCTTACGGTGAGGCCAACGAGGAATACCTAACTCACGACATCTTTTCTTCAAGAGGGTTACACCAATGTTAAGCTCCTTGGCTGCTTTAGTTATCGGCATGTAGAAGTACTGCTTCATCATTTCCCTTGACAAACTATTGATGTCTCCATCTTCTCTATATCGCCTCTTCATAATTATCCTCTTCTGGCTTGTTTTCTCTTTTATAGTTGTGTTAACATCTTCATGCAATATCTTCTCCATCTTTGGATCTCCCATGGTATTAGTTCTTGAAATATCATCAAGAATTGGTTCGACCTGGTTATTGTAGTTACCATTATTATCATTCCACCATCCGCTCATTATATCTGCTACACAATGTATATAAGATTAGAATTACAATCCAAACTTGCATATATGTGTGTGTATATCTACATGCATATATGTATATATATACCTAGAGAGAAAGTACTAGAGATTGCTTCAAGATCAAGTGAAGCCAGAAACGTATGATCAGCCGCAAAGGTAGTAGATATAGGATAACAATGCT